GAATTGGGGAACACCAGAACAAAAGAAGTTTAGTGTTCCAATGATAAAACGCCAGAGGGAAGTCTTTACTGGGAAAAGGCAGAAGCAAAAAAAGAAATAATTTATTGGTTTGCAATTACAAAATTGCCTTTGTTTAGGTACCTTGTTGAAAAGTCTGTAGTCCCATAATCATATGTGAATTGGCTGCTTATGACTGGCTGGGGTTTAAGTTTTAGTTCTGTCTAACTTAAGCACTTATTGGATATGAATCCAAGTTAAGTTTCGCTTATGTTTGCAATTAACGCTATTTTTAAGCCTTTGATTTTGTTTGCTCGGGAATTTTTCAGACCTGATCTCTATTTTAATTTTACATTAAGAGTCCCCTAAAGAGGATTCTCCAAGCAGGAATGACACTTTAATGCAAGGTATTGAGTAATGGTGGTAATTTCAGGCATTCTGCCTGACTAATGATGGTCCAGCTATTTTGCACCCCATAGCCCTCCACTAAAACATCGTCTTGGTCACCATGGAAAATATTTTAAAATCTTAACTTTGGTTGAGTTTAAACTGAAATCTATTGGAGGTCAAGAATTATTTTAGTGCCAGCTCTTTGAATGGAAGTTAGATAATGGCTTTTAAAGTAAAAAAAAGAGCATCCCTGTTTCTTATTTTCCAGAACCAGTTTGCATTAGGAGCTTTTACATCATTAATATAGATCCATATTTCAGCAAATCCATGGAGCTCTATTTGACCTAAGAGGTGCCTGGAGACCAAGTCAGAATCCCCTGGAGGGTAAATTGCTACAGAGCTCTCTCTCTCCACAATTAATCTAGCCTATGGAAAAAAAGAATATATTTATTCCATAAATATATTTTATATACAGGCACTGTACTAGCTTCTTAGGTATTTTTTACTATAGCCAGCTTATAAAAAGACTATATTTGCTCCATAACAGGAAAATCTAAAGGGTAATTCTAGATTTTAAGTTCTTACACAGGTCAACAGAGTATTCTATATACCAATATATGCAATAGAACATTTATCACATATTTTCAAAGATGATTGTGATGAATTCCTGGATTTGAACCAGTCCAGTGAATGCATCCTGGGATACCCTTTTCTTTCTTCTAGCCCACAGTTTCTCTATTTTCCCATGATATGAAAATAGCATGGCCTGGGTAACTTGCTTGACAGGTATTTACCTAAGATTAGTAGGTGCTTTTCACTGTTGCAAATATGAGAAGACTGTGACATTATCTTTGCCCTTAATAGAGGACCTACAGTCTGGAGAGAAACAATTTTAGAATGGGATTAGACAGCATATAACATGATATCAAATTATGTATAATAAAGACCCTACCCTGGCTCTTTTTCTACTTTTTATGATGACTCAGATTTAAAAAATGTTAAATATCTAGAAGTCACAATGCTCAGAGTAAGAAATGGAAGACTAATATCTTGAATGATAGATAGTGATTCAGTAAACAAGAACATTGTGCTGAAACTAATAAGTTGAAAGTAACAGAAATAAACAGAAATACCTACATTTAGTTTCTAGAATTCAATAGTGTAAGTACAGAGTGGTAGAAAGCTATAATTTTCACTTTCAAAAAAATCCTGCTGAGGCCAGGTGTGGTGGCTCACACCTGTAATCCTAGCACTTTGGGAGGCCAAGGTGGGAGGATCCCTGGAGTCCAAGAATTTGAGACCAGCCTGGGCAACATAGTGAGACCCTGTCTCTATAAAAAAAAATTAAAAATTAGATGAATGTGGTGATGCAGGCCTATAGTCCCAGCTACTCAAGAGGCTGAGGCTGGAAGATCACTTGAGCCCAGGAGATCGAGTTTGCAGTGAACTATGATCATGCCACTCATGATCATGCCACTCATGCCACTATGATCATGCCTCCAGCTTGGGGCAACAGAGCAAGACCCTGTCTCTGAAAAAGAAAAGGAAAGAAAGAAAGAAAGAGGGAGTGAGGGAGGGAGGGAGGAAAGAAGAGAAAGAAAGATCCTTCTGACATTTTAATTAACCTAAAATTTCACTCAATATCCTAAACTTCTTGCTGAGCACCAGGCACCATGTAGGTTCTGTGGGACCTTATCACATGAAGCAAACTTATTGGTCTACAATGTGCAGCTCAAGGGAGAAAATATGCCCACTGACCAGATCTCATTGGCAGCAGACACAACACTCTAAGTAGGTCACATTTGATAAAATAGCCTAGAGAAGAAGGGGACTCAATTGGTAAGGGACAGGGAAACCAGGCTATACAGAAATATTGAGTGGCCACAGGATGTTTAGTCTAGAGAAGAAAAGATTATGGGACTTTGATGGTTGTTTTCCAGAATTTAGAGAGCTATTGTGTGACTACAGGGGAGCCTTAAGACTTTTTTGGGCTATTTATGTTTGACCAATAAAGTAAAAGTTACAGAGGGGCAGATTCGTTTTGATGTCTTCCAAAGTTTTCCTGCAAACCTTGGGAAAACCTCCCTCTAAAGGTACCCCATCCTGTGAGCATTCCAGCAGAAGCCAGCTGGCCACCTGTCACATAGACTGCTTCCTTCTAGAAGAGCTATATTTTGTCAGCAATTGGAATGGATGATCTCTGAGAATCCCTCTGATGCCAAGTTTTTCATTTTTATTTTCCAATTAAGTGGGAAGTACGAGGACTTTTCATATACCTTCCTGAACACTTAAGACCTGCAAGAATTTTGCTAGCCTGCAGCTAACAGATCTGTTTCCCCATCATCCCCCACCTTCACTGGTTGAAGCAACCTTGTTAGTTATCAGAATGTCATAGTAGATATACTTCAACCATTAAAATATTCTGCTGACCTACTTAGGATAAAATGGTTATTAAGACTTAAACTGTGTCTCCATTCATTCACCACTCGAATGTGTAAATACCAGTGCTGACCAGAACATACCAGAAGGGAAAATTCTTGCCTCAAAGTGAGGTAAATGGTGAGAGGAAGTTGACAGACCAGAGTGTGAGAGACGGAGCACATACAAAGTTCCACATGCCGTCTGCAGTCAAGGGGGGGTGATGGTTCCCTGCACTGTGGAAATGCCAGAGGAAGGGAGGCACCTCTCAGCTCCCTGGAGCTGCTCTAATATTTACCGTGGCTGTGTCTCCCAAGCTTCACAGGCCAAGCCAGCATCTTCCGGACACCTGCTGTTTTAGGTGTGCCCAGATGTCATCATACAGCTAAGAAGAGGAAGAGTTGCCACATCCTCAGCTGGCCATTCCTGTTGTCCACTTCTGAACAAGAAACACTTTGGCCAGGAGGTTCCTTCAAGACAACAAAATATACAGTTCTAGGGAAAAAGACTGTTGAACTATTTCTGCTAATAAGTTGCTGTCACCGAAAACTGAATTTACCTCTTTATTTCTTGCCAAATATAATACATCATTTTGGCATCATGTTGACCTGCCAGAAGAATGACTGTTACTTTTGAAGGAGGAAGTCTTACTGCTTTAATATTTATATAGGTTGACAAGTAAACATGCAAGCCCAATTTAGTTATTACCATTAACCCAAAGTCAGGTTACAGTGAGACAATATATCTAGCTTTTAAGTTGAAGTGCTTAAAATAATCTGAAAATTATTTTGAATGGTACTAACAGCCACTGGGAAATGCCGGCTAAAACATAGAACTAAACTAGAACACAAAGTTAGTTGTATGATTGTAGAGTTACAGAGACTTTACAGGACTTTAAACAATTAGAGTGATGCTGTTATTCAGTGAGCAGAAAATATAAGTAACAGTTATGTTAATGTCTAGGAACTTTGTCAAACCTAAGAGCCATAATTATAAAGGAGCAAAATGTAATATAGACATAGTATACATAAAAATATATGGCCATGCATGGTGGCTCGCACCTGTAATCCCAGCACTGTGTGAGGTCAAGGTGGGAAGACTGCTTGAGGTCAGAAATTTATGACCAACCTGGGCAACATAATGAGACCCTGTCTGTACAAGAAATAAGAAAAATTATCAGAGCATGGTGGTGTATACCTGTAGTCCCAGCTACTCGTGGGAGGATTACTTGAGCCCAGGAGTTGAAGGCTACAGTGAACTATGATAGTGCCACTGCACTCCAGCTTGGGCAACTGAACAAGACTCTGCTCTTAAAAAAAAAATATATATATATATATATATATATGTATATATAAAATGAGAAGCATTGTTATTTCTCATGAAGGCAACTGCCTTCTACTAATCCAATGACAAAAGAGGTGCTGAGCAGCTAGTAATGAAAATAGTGATAACCAAGGGGGAAAAAACAAGAGCCAGTTACCTTTTTCCAATTCATTTAAGGACCTACCCACTATTGTGTTTAAAGTATACCCAGAGGCTAATGTTGTTTCCATGTAACCTACTTAAATAAACCATTCCAGGGTTGACTTTCTTTTTCTTGTAGAAAGAGCAATATTTCGCAGATGAGTTTTGTTTGGTGAGCCTACTTCAATCAATTTTAATCCAAATGTATAAAGCATTTTAACATAAGACAAATGATAGGGATACTGAGAAGTAACACTAACAATCCAGCTACATTGAATTCATTTCACTTTCACAACAACCTTACAAAGTTGTTACTGTTACTATTTTGTTGTTACAGAAGAGGAAACCAAGGTACAAAGAGTTTTAAGGAACCTGTCCCGGATCACACAGCCATGAATTGGCAGAGGAAGGACTTGAACTCAGCCTGGCTGGTTCCAAAGTCCTGGTATTTAACCTTTGGGCTATACCACCTCCCCAGTAATGGTACATAGGCTAAAATTAATCAAGTGCCTAGTGTGTACCAGGCACTGTGTTAATTCTTTTATATACATTAACACATTAACTTTGCCAGTTGGGACATTAGGACACAGGTAAGAGGGATAACAAAAGAATCATTGGTCAACTGTTCCATGTGTCTTTGGCATAACACCTAGCTTAGCTGTAGTCTCTGTGCTGCTTGAGATTGCAAGATGTTAGCAAAAAGAAGTTATTTTGTGATTTCTTCTTTGCAGAGGTGGAATGGTCCAAACCAGTGAGCAGTATGAATTTGTGCATCATGCTCTATGCCTGTATGAGAGCAGACTTTCAGCAGAAACTGTCCAGTGAGTCACTGAAGACTGACCAGGCCATCAATCTCTTGGGGTGTTTAATCAAATTACCCACTTGAGGCTTCCAGAAGGAGCTTCCTGCAATGGAAGGAAAGAGAAGCTCTGAAGCCAACCTGTGGCATGGATTGTGGAAGACTTGGCAACATGTTTAAGATTGCCAGCCCCTTGTGTATATGAATGCATTTGTAAGCATCCCTCAAACTATTTTGAAGGTCCTATGCTGATGGAGGTATGATAGATTTCTCACATAGGCTGCGGTGGATTTCGTTTTGTCTGTACTATCTGCCACACAGAATGTATGTATGTAATATTCAGTGATAAATGTCATCAGATGATGACTGGAAGAGCTGCTGAAGACATTCTTATTGTGTGTTTAGATGCTTTAATGTTTGCAAAATATGTCTTGTGAATGGACTGTCAGCTGTTTAACTGTTCCTGTTTTAAGTGCTATTACCTTTCTCAGTTACCAGAATCTTGCTGCTAAGTGATCGACAATGGATTTTTAACAAATAAGTCTTTGTTTTTAAAAAAAAAAAATTAAAAGCAGTAACTATTTTATATGGAAATGTGTCTTGATAATATTACCTATTAAATATGTATTTATAGTACCTCCTACCAATCAATTACAGAGCACAATAATTGTCATTGGGTATATATGTATTTACTCTCTATTATTAGGCATAAAGGTGACTTCTGCTCCAGAACTCTATCCACTGTATTTCTACATTGTGATTTGTTTTACTTTAAAAAGGCAAAACAAATTTGTAGCAACTATGAAGTATCAAGAATTTTAAATACTTGTCTCTCTTTTACTAAGAAGGGATTTTTGAATATGCTGTCTACCTGGAATCTCTCTCCCAATAAAAGACAGATGCCTTTGGGAATGATGTAACCTGTCCCATTTCCAGAGGTTCTTTATAAAGATGCTGCCATGTCTGTCCTTACATTTCTGAAAAGTTTTAATCCTCAAGTGACAAATAAAGTTAAAACAACTACCCTCAGAAAACACAAGATGTTCTGCTCAAATACGAATTTTTCATGCAGCAATGTTGACTTTGTTTCACACTGCCAATAAACTACTCTTAATACTAAATATTGAGTAAAGGAGATTCTTTTTTCTCCTACTTGGAGAGAAGCCATTATCTGTTTGGGGAAGCCTGAAGTTGATAACGTGATGGGTTTAATTTTAGTCTCTGCATCTCCACAGTGGAGATGATGATCTCAAAATGTAATATTGTCATCACTTGAGAGATAATAATCTAGAAGTGCCATCATTATGTGGTTTTCCTCGATAGACTCCCAGCATATCATTATACAAACAGTACATGTTTACGTCTTTATATCACTTGTCGTAGACCCTCATGAATTACACGGTTTATGTTTATTCAGCAGAATCACATCACCTGAAGAGATGTAATGTTTTAGGAACATTCAATTATCTGAGATTACAATTCTTTTCTTCCCTCTTGAGGTTAAGAAGTAATCATGTGCCAAAGGGAAGGTAGGTAAAGACTTAAGGGGATTTGTTCTGCTCCTGGAGGCTGAAATTTTTTCTGCATTAAAAAAAAAGAGAGGTAATCATAATCCCTTCTTTCTAAGGAAACAGACAAAAGGACACTGGTGTAAAACTTCCCCAAACAATTCAATAGGAGGAAGTGCTCGTCACTGACTTTTCCCCCCACCATGAAGGCACATTTCCTTCCTAGTCTCTGCTTCTCTTATCTGGAAGAATTTTTTTTTTTTCCCAAGCGAAGCATGAGCAGTTGTTAAGTGGAAAATGGAGGCTGAATTTTACATGGTGATTCTTACCTGCTTGGTCTTCAGGAGCTCAGGTGAGTGGGTCTGCCTCAGTTTCCCAAGGCATTTCTCTCCTGTCTGGCTGAGGAGTCTCAGGCCTTTGAAAAGTGTCTGAAATAAGGTAGAAATGAAGCCAGGTCTCCATGGCTGTTTAGCCAAAGACGCTGAGGAGGGGGAATAAAAGGAGCCAGCTGTGCCCACACTGTTGAGATTTCTCTCCAAAAGAAAATAATTTCTCTCCTGAGGTCCTCCAAATGCTTCGGGCAGCTCCTGAAATGGCATATTTATAGCAGAGAGTACAGAACTCTGGGGAGGAATTTTGTATTATTATGTAACAGTATGTAGCATTCCCCATACCTTTCCCAAACAGGTTATAGTTTTTTTTTTCTGTTGTGTTAAAGAAAGAAAGTATAAGAAATACGGTTTAAGGGGATAAGGGAACGTGGCATGTTTTATTTGGAAGGGCTGAATATTTTCATGGGCGAGCTATGCAATTTAAGTAAAAGCTCATTGAAAATGGTTTCTGAGCCTAAATATCTTACTTTTTAATACTGATGTTTAACAATTGGATGTTTAATTTTCTTAAATTGAGAAATGCTGAGCTTTTAATCTATTAGTATTTGAGGGAAAACTGTAGATATTGTCGGAAAACTGTAGATATTGTCCCAAAACAGAGAAATGCTTCTCTCCAGGACTAGAAGAAATTTATTTTGCGATAATCAATATTTTCATTGGTTATTGTTAGCTAGGAGGTTGTGCTAGGAGGGGTGGGAAAATTTGTTTCAGTTTTTCATAAAAACTGAAATATAGGCAATTTTTAAAAATTTTTGTTCAAACTCTGCAATTTGTATACAAATACTTACTGCAATGTGAATTGAAGGAATGGAAAAGGGGTTTTTTTGTAGAGAGGGGGAGGAAGGTGATATGGAAAGAGTCAAATGGTTAAATAGAGAACTGAGCTTTTCATACCTTCATTATATTTAACTAATGTGGCTAAAATACCACACCATAATCTTTGAATAGTTTTGTTTCTTTTCTAAGTTTCCTTTCATTTTCCAATAAGGGGTGTGTTTTCTTCCCTAGCCATGTGAAAGTAAAAAAAAAAAAAAAAAAAAAAGGGTGGGGGAAGCTGTGGGACATTTTGACATTTTACATTGTCAGTCTTGGGATTTTAAATCACATGTGTTAAATCTAAGAATATTCACTTGAAATGATAGCAACAACAAAATATAAGTAAAATAGTCATTTTACTTAGCCCATTTGTGGATGGGTTGTTTTGTTTTCTAATGAGCCTTATAATGTGCTACACAGAACTTTATACACTTTTCATCTTCCAGAGGGGTTTCAGATTGTCCATGTCCAGAAACAACAGTGTCTTCTCACAAATGGGAAAGTGGGCGTGGGCTCATGCAACAGGACCATCCAGAACCAGCAGTGGATGTGGACTGAGGATGGAAAGCTCTTTCACATGAAATCTGCGCTGTGCCTGTCTGTTTCCAATTCCTCTGGTGCCCCTTCCCGCTCAGCCATCTTGGACTGCTGCTCCCAGGCACCCCAATGGACCTGCTACTATCAGGAAGGGTTCCTTGAGGTGGAAAATACTTCTCTCTTTCTCAAAAAACAAGGCTCCAGGGTAGTGGTCAAGAAGGGCAGAAAATACCTTCATAGCTGGATGAAAATATATGTCAATGAGGAGGGAAAACTGGCCAATGAAAACCTCTGCTTAAAAAAAGGTGAGCTATTCCTTTTAGAATCAATTCTGAAAGTTCTGCTGCTAAATGTCTTGTTTTTTTATATTCAAGGGAGGTCCACATGTCCCAACATTCTTCCTGTGAAGATTCATAAGCTGATGGAAATGGACTGTGTGGTGCCCAATGACGGAAAACATCATTACTATCATTAAAATAAGCCCAATATTCTCTTTCTGTCCATTGCTTGTTCATCCTTTCCTTCTTTTCTTGCTTCTTTTATTAATTCAACAAATATTTCTTGAGCTTCTCTTTCGTGCCAGACACCATGGTTAAGTACCATTAGCTGTAGGCATATAGATATTAGGCATATACATAGCATATATGGAGTGACTAAAGTAGATGATCAGAAAATTATTAGATTTTGTTGACATAGATACTTCTGTTCTCTGATTATGAGGAACTCTTACAACATCAACATGGTGCTTGATAAGACAGGGAAGATAATAAGTTGTGCTCTTACACATTTCCTGTATTGATGTTTAGGGATGGATATCTTTTGGAGGTAACATACTTTTGAAAGGGTAATAATCAATGTGCCGCCATAGAGTTTTCTCATTTGTTGGCTGTTAATGGTATAACCCAGATGATGGACAAAGAAATTTTTGCTTGTGGAATATACGTGCAGCTAAATCTTCTCTTTAAGTTAATCATTTTATTGTATGTTTACTACTCTATTAGAGGTTAGCTTTAGCACATCATGAAAGATAATACTAACAGAGTCACAACACATTAGGTGTCAATGGACCTTTCAAATCATGGGAGAAATTATCTAGAAACGAAGGCTCTCATGATGGAGATTGAAATCTGTCAAGTGTAAGTAAATTGTCCTAAATAAATTAGTAACAGAGCTATGATTAGAACCCAAGTTTCTCAACTCCTTGTCCAGTGAACATTCCATTATACCAGTGGTCCCCAAATGCCTGGCCACAGACTTTTGCCGAACTGATTGATTACATAAGGATCATGGGGTGGAGGGGAAGGGAGGACTTACTAAAAATATGAATTCCTAGGATTCCTTCCCACCATTTTTTCCTTTACAACCACCTCCAATTTGTGCATAACGCATGATGCTTTTTAAAAAGCTTTCCAGAGGCTGGGTGCTGTGGCTCATGCCTATAATCCTAGCACTCTGGGAGGCTGAGGATAGCTTAAGGTCAGGAGTTCAAGACCAGCTTGAGCAAGAGTGAGACCCTGTCTCTACTAAAAATAGAAAAAATTAGCCAGACATGGTGGTGCATGCTTATAATCCCAGCTCCTTGGGAGGCTGAGGCAGGAGGATTGCTTGAGCCCAGGAGTTTCAGGTTGCTGTGAGTTAGGCTGATGCCATGGCACTCTAGCCCAGGCAACAGAGTGAGACTCTGTCTCCAAAAAATAAATAAAAATAAAAAGCTTCCCAGATAATTTTGATCCATAATCCTATTTAGGGATCAGCATCCTCTGTACCCTTAAATATTTTTCTTAAGTGTTGATTTGGGGGGCTCTATGAGTCTTTCCGCCATGCTAATCTTTGGACAGTTTTCTGTCACTCATTTGTTCTATAATTAAACAAGCATTTAATTAGATGCCAATTGAATGCAGTGGGCTCTTCTACAATAGAAGCTGGGAGTTACAGTACCTGGGCATGTATCATTTCTGGCTATGAAACTAAGATAATAATATAAAATCAATTAGAAAATTCAAATTTATCAGAAAATATATAGCATATAGCACCAATCTGTACATTATTTTCCTGTGGTTCATTTGTCAACACCTTTCCTAAACAACACAGAAATATTATAAATATTACAGCTGTATTATTATATACAGGAAATGAGATTTGTTTTCAATCCCCACTAAAACCTTATTTAAGGTAAGATTCTTTAATTGGAACTTCAAAAAAAGTAGACATGGATTCAGTGGAGAGTTTTTCAAGACAGAAGATAATTCATGGAAAAAAACTCTCTCCTTTGACCCTCATAATGAAATCTGTCCAGTGATGGACTCCACTTCAAAGTAAAGTGCATAGAATAGGCCATTTGCAATTAATCACCAAACATACCATAACTATTATACATATTTTTGCTTTAACACAATTATAGACTAACAGACACATTTTTCTTCTCCATCATAAACTTACCATTGACTGATTAAGATTGATATTTGTGGACACATAACATGAAAGCTCACTGATGTGCCAGAGAAAACACTACGAAAAGCTAACCAAAGTGCAGCACAAGTATGCAGGTTGTTCATCCATAGAATGTGAATATTCTTTGTACATTCTTTATTAAAAAAAGCATACCTGTGACTGTAAAAATCTGAACCATGTTTCACATTTATTTCTTAAAGGAAACACTAATGATTGCATTCAAGCATCCACATAACATTTAGCTAGCACTTATGTGCCAGAGCTTGTGCTTGTAAGTGAAGTATCCTACACCAGTTTTTCTCAACCCAAGCTGTGTATTAGATTCACATAGTAGCTCTTAAATAATATTAGAGGACAAAGCCTGGGCTTTATCCTCTAGGCCAATTAAATCAGGTGTTGTAGTTTTAAAATGCTTCCTAGGTAATTCTAATGTGCAGCCAAGTTTGGAAATCACTAAATATATCTTACTCCTTAGGGTAATGGGGAAGCCAGGTAATTAAATAGGTAATTACAATAGAGCATATACAGAAAAAAGCATTCCTCTCTCTATTATATATCATTACTAGTATGTCACTCACATTAAGCACCCATTCTTTAAACAATTTTTCAAGGATAATTTTTAAGTTGCATATTTTATAAACATTCTTTTGTGTGATCACTAGGTTTTATCAAAATTTAGCTATCTCCAGTCTCACTAAACTACCTTGTTTCTTCCTGATTAAATTAACAAATGTTTCAACCTCCAGAAAATGTTGGATAGCAGAATTATAGGGAAAAATAAAGGAAAAAAGGAAAACTAAAGCTTTAAGGTCTACTTTGAGGAGTGCCGCCATTAAAATCACGACTATTGCCTTTGTTTTCTATCCAATCCAAGTATAATTTCTGGACCTACCAAGCCATCAAAACTTACAACTGCATCTATTCCAGCAGGGAATAATCTTGGTCTCAAGCAAAGGACAAAGGTTACAGTGGCCCAAATATTGAAATTTTATGGATCTACCTGATGGGGAAAATAACTCATTCTTTGGACTCCATATCTATATGGGAAAAAGGGAAATTTACTCAAAGGAAATTACTGGTTTGCTAATAGATCTAAGCAAATAATCTTTGACAGAGGAAAACTGAGGCAATCCAAACTTGAAAGTGGCTTCAACAACACCAGCATAAATCTGTTGACAGACTATGTCTGTGTAGTTCTAAGACTTCCTGGTGAAGGGTGCAAAATTACATCCAAGGTTTGGATACCTTTTCCAAGTGATGCCAAGTCTCCTTGCATTTATAAAAGGCTGGATGATTGTCTAAAACTGTTACTTTCACTCAGATGTTCCATATTGTAAAGAGAGTAACATTGAATATAAGATGTCAGCCAACCATTCCACATTTATTCAGCACCTACTTCAGATTCGGTCATTCAAATCTCATATTTATCTTTCTTTTCTTTTTTCTTTTTTTAAAATTTTTTTTCTTATCATTTTCAACCCCTTGCTCACTTTGCACAAATCTCATATTTATCTGAGGACAGGCAAATTTTTGCAGGAAAATTTTCAAGTGTCCTGATGTGGCTGAGCTGGTGAAATCACTAAAAGAGATTTTGCTGATGAAATAAACCATATTGTTGGCAGGCTTGATATAATTTCTGGTTAAAGTAATTGTTTAATTGTAGTAATTCGGGAGACAGGATAAAATACATAAGCATGGTAAAGGATAAGCAAGCATATTCTGTCTTGGGAGAAAAGGTTTTAATAGAAATTATTTGCTTTAGTGGCTGGCAGAAGTACTTGTGAATACAAAGAGCTTACGGGGGAAAAAAAACAAAAGAGAAAGTGTTTTTTGTGTATACAGACCCTATTTTGACCAAATTGGCTATCACAGCCATTTTAGGATTTGTTTTCTACTTGCATCATCATAACAACATGGGCCTTGTAATGGACCATTTTTAAAAATATACTATTTTAAAGTAATATTATCAATGATTATTGATATATGATTTATATGATCATTGACAATAGCTGGCATAGCATTGATAGTCCCCCAAAATTTTCAGCCTGTGACATATCAATGAACCTCTTCCCCTTTTTCAGACTTTGTTTAGCCTCTGGTTCAACATCTCTCTCCCACCACCTAATAGCCCTGAACTTTTATAAACCATTCTTTCTCCTCTATCAGGCATGCTTTCCTTCTGCTCCACTATCTCATCCTTTTCCTTAAAAGAAAATATGGGGTATTAGGACAAAACTGGTATATCTTCATAATGCAACCCATAGTACAGTTGTTGACTACTAATTGGCTTTTGAAAGTATTTCTTTGACTTAGTTTTTCAATTATTTTTTTATTTTAATTTTTTTGCTATGGTATGCTCTAGTGCTTTACTATGCTATGTCTTGGTATCAATTTCCACTAATTAATTTTACCTTGTTTCTAATCTTGAGTCTTTTTAAAGCAATTTAGATTTGCATTTTTAAGTGTACTCTTTATTTCACTGATTACATTTCCTGAAATGTGAACTATTCTTTGAACCATTTCCAATAATTATTTAGACTATTCCTGTTTATATGTTATATTCCACTTTACCTTTACT